TTTCTTCTATTCTGTGGCTTACTTTTTTGCTCTTTTAATGACATCACCAGATAAACAGAAGTTCTTATTTCAATATAAGCCAATTTATCAGTATTTTCCTTTATTGTTGATGATCATTGTGTCATTTAATAAACATTTCTCTCTATCCTCACATTATGAAGATATTTTCTTATTTTAGCTTATAGAAACTTTACATTTAGAGCTACCGTCAGTTGAGAATTGATTTTTATGTATCTTGTGACATGATAATCAACTTTCTTTTCCTTTCCCCATAGTTATCCAGTAGGCAACACCATTCATTGGATTATCCATTCCTCACTGGTTTTATGTCAAGTTATAAGATCAAATGTCCATGGGACATTGTGCTGTACCCCAGAAACTGACACATTGTAACTGATGGAAATTCAATTAAAGAAAACAAAACAAGGTCTTACTGTAGCACACAGGGAACTGCATTCAATATCTTGTAGTAACTTGTAATGAAAAAGAATATGAAAATGAATAAATGTATGTACATGTATGACTGAAACATTATGCTGTACACCAGAAATTGACACAACACTGTAAACTGACTATTCGTCAATTAAAAAATAATAAAAACAAAACAAAACAAAAAAAGATCAAATGTCCAAATAGCTGTGGACTTGCTTGAGGACTCTTTTCTTAGTCTGTTTGTCTATGTTTACACCAACATCACACTGTTTTAATTACTGTAGCATTATAATAAGTTTTGCTACCTAGTGTGAAAGTTTGTGTTACACTTTCATGGTAGCCCTTTTTATTTCCGTACTTATTTTAGAAGCAGCTGGTAAGTTTTTATTAAAAAATACTACTGTGATTTTTATTGGGATTGTAAATGATGGAGTCTACGTCTTACAAAGTTTTTCAATCCATAAACATGGTGTATTTCTCCACTTCTATAGGTCTTAGTTAATTTCTCTCAGTATTACATTATTTTCTGTGCAGAGTTCTTGTACATACTTTGTAAGATTTATTCATAGGTATCTGGTGTTTTTGTTGCTACTGTAAATGGTGTCTGCTTAAAATTTTTATTTTCTATCTTTTATTGCTATAATTGATTTTGTATCTTGACTTTGTATCCAGAAGCCTCGCTAAACTCACTATTTCTGATAATTGTAAATTATTAATTTTTCCTGCATTATTTGTAAGCAATAATAATTTTATTTCTTATGTTCATTATATCTTTTGTTGACTTTCTGTTCTTGTTGTACCTGCTAGGACTTCCTGTAAAATGTTACACAGAAGTGGTGATACTGGGCGTGTTTGCCTTATCCCTAGTCTCAGAAAGCTTTCAGCATCTCGCTGTTTAGTACAATGTTTGGTTTTTTTTCACTAGCCCTTATGAAACTAAGGAAATTCTTTTCTATTTCTAGTTTTTAAGCAGTTTTTTCCTCCTCATGAATAGACATTGAATTTATTTAAATATTTCTTCACTTATTGAGATGTCCAGAACATGTATAACTTTCTTAGTGTTAATATGGCGAATTACACTGCTTTGTTTTTTCCAATGTTAAACTAGTCTTGCATTCCTAGAAAATATCCAACTTGATTTTGGTGAAGTGCACTTTTTATATATTGCTGGACTGAGTTTGCTAATATTTTCTTTAGAATATCGACACCTATGTTCATGAGTAATATTGGCCTATGACTTTTGGTATCAAGTTTATAGGACCTCATAAAACAAATTGGGAAGTTGTCCTCTTTATTCTCTGGAATAGTCTTTGTGGAATTAGAATTATTCTTTCTTAAATGTTTGGTATAATTTGCCGGTGAAACACAACTTTGTGGGGAAGAGATTTGGAACTAAATCTAAAAAAAAATTTATAGGACTAATTCTTATCTTTTATATCTTCTTGTATCAGTAAGTAATGATTTTTAAGGAATTTATACATGGCATGTAAAATTTCAGGTTGACTGGCAAAAATGTTTGTTATCCTCTTGTTAATTTTGTAGCATCTGTTGAGTTTAAGCAAACTGCCCTTCCAGCACCTAGCACAGAGTCTATCAGCTGGTAGCATTCAATAAATTACTTGAGAAATGAATGCATAAATAAATTTGAGTGAAGCAGAAACACATGAAGGCACATTAACCAAATGCTACTTACCATCATGTTAAGCTGGGAGGCACACAGTTGAAGAGGACCCTTGTCCGTGCCGGAAGCCTGTATCTTTGAGGCCTTGGCCAATGGTTCTCAAACCCGTCAGACACCGCACCATCATTTAAAATACATATGTGTAATTCCCGCTTTGCTATCTTGAAAAGAAATTCACAGATAGTCTAAATTTTTAGAAAATAATAGAATATTCTGTCGAATAGAAAATCAATAAATGAAAAGTAATTTATGATAAAAGACTGTGTATTTCAACCTGGAGATGTTCTGGCATGACTAGACCAGAGACATGATGAAGCTGGCAGGTGCCTGCTCCTCGCTGTAACGAGTCCGGGTGGATGTAAGAGAAGTAAGACAACACTCAGATGATGTTTATTGTCAACACGTCTTCTTTATATTGAACTTTTTGAGATAAAGGCTAAATGAGCACATTTGTGTGTGTGTATATATAGGTAGAGTCGGTTTGACTGACAGCTACAAACGCAGACGGATACAGGTGTGTTGTATTGTTGACTCAAATGCCAGAAGCGCTGATGTTGACGATGGAACATTTCGAAGTGGTGAACAATTCTTGGTAAAGTTCTGAAACAAACCAAATGTAGTCTTCTCTCGATTTACGCAGGAGTTGCATTCCTGGAAAATTCAGTATATGTCAAAATCATGTAAAATATCCTCTTAAATGTATGTAAAATGGAGTTAGGTGCTAGGCTCTGGTAACCATAGAGATTTTTACCCACATATACTTCCAACGGGGTGTTTGCAGTTTGTGTGGGGCTGTCTCCCTCAGTGTAGCGCTTTAGTGGATTTGTTTCTTGCAGAGTAAATCCCAGTCACACCCCTAAACACGGCAATAATCAATCACCCTACACCCAACAGATTTTCCGCAACCCCCCTTACCATTCCCCCCGCCAGGAAGCACTGCCATCCTTGCTGAGAATCTGTGCCTGGCTCGTCGTCTTCCTGGCTCTCTCCCCCAGTCTGTGAAAGCACCCTGCAGACACTGGAGGATACAGCAAGCCCCTTAGAGGGATCCTGAACCTGCATCACTCTATCGTCTTCATATTTATCTTTTATTATTTTTTAAATTTCTTACTATCTTCCCCAGAGGATGTTTTGGTAAGTGGAAAACAGATATCCTTATAAACAAGGCGGGGGGAGGGATCTGTGGGGTGAAGTGTGAGAGGAAAACAGGCAGGCAGAATGAAGCTGGGGTGAACCTAGCGCCTAAAACTCACAGTCCCAGGGCTTGTGCATCTGCTAAATGTGAGCGGTAACCTGGGTTGTCCATTTAAAGAGGGACCCTCGATCGACTACACAATTCCATTGCCTAGGAAGTAAAAACAAGGTAAGAACATAAGACTCTGGAGAACATAGACTCTGCTTAGCTTTAACGTGGCTCCACCGTTTGTAGCTTTGGGCCCTTGAGTAAAGCGCCATGCACTTTGGTCCCCTTGCCTATAAGCAAGATAATAATCGTAACAATACCTAGAACACCTAGCACGCGGTCTGCTGGGGGGATTTGACAAGCTGATGTTCATCACGCGCTTAAAGCAGCACACGGTAGCTAGGTGTTCATGTTATGTGAGCATTTGCCAAACAAACAAGCAAAAACTCTCGCTCAGAGAAAACACAGCTTTTTCTAGCAGTTCCTCTTACTGAATGACAAGGGATTGAACTGCCCAGCTTGGATGCTCAGGGGAAACTCCACATTCGTCAGTTCCAACCTGCTCGTGCTACCGTGCTGGGAACTGCAGCCAGACGGGGAATCTAGTGGCCAGACTCACACAGCTAAGTTTGTGGAGGACCCAGGTTCCTGGCTCCTGTCTGCTGCTCTTTCTGGGACTCCGTGGCTGGAGCTGGCCTGGGAATGGGCCCACGATCTCTGCACCTAGTGTGCCTGCAGGTTCCAAAGTCCCCTCTGACTCTTACTCTCCAAACTCCTGTTTCTCCCTAAGTACAGAGAGCAAAGAATGAAACAAGTCAGGTGTGAGTGGTCCATAAACTCAGACACTCAAGGAATATGCAAATTCAAGGTGGATTTCCTTTAAATAAATCTCTAACTTTGGGTAGGAGGTGGGATGGAGTGGTAGAGGGTAAAGGTTTTGGCAAGAATTTAAACCTCATTGTGTCTTGGCATCATCCAAGTAGACCCCTTGCCTCAAATTTTTCTGTGCCTGTTATTTTCAGGAAGCACCTGAGTCTTCCTTCTCCTGGCCCTGCTCAGACCTCATTGCTTCACTGGGGCACGATCACCAGGGGCTCAGATGTGTTCCCGCCCTGGTTCTGACCCCATGCACTGGAACCTGCATCTGGGACTCCTGCCCCCTTGACCAGTGCTCTCTCTGCCACACCAGGGTGGGTACTGGCTGTGAATTATATAGCTGGACTTGTCTTAATAGCAGACTCTATTAAAGAACAATAGTTTTAGCTCATCGTGTGATTCAGAGATGGTTGCTAGGGAAACCACTGGGAATATGTTTAATTTGTAAATCCCGTAATTGCCCTAAATTAGAGTAATTCACGCTCTTGCTTCAAGCGCATTTGGACTGAGCTGGCTGGGAAGCAGGTGAGGAGGAGACAATGATGACAGGTTGGCTCCCATGGCGATCTGTTCGCACTCCTTGTAAAGTGTTTTTTACCACCGCTTTGTCAAAAAAGCTACAGGGATTAGAGAGAAGGCCTGAGGGAACATTATGGTGTCCTTCTAGTGACCCAGAGAGCTGGAAAGCCAAAGAGGGCAGGCCCTCTCTTCTCACTAATTCAAGTGGTCGCAGCAGAGGAGGCGGGGGCAGCACCAGCAGTGATGGAGAGAGATGAAAGAACTCCTGTAAAGACTTTTTATTCTAAAATGGAGTCAGAATCCCAGCATTGTCGTTTGTAGGGGGCTGCTAACTAAAAATGAGCAGAATCAAGCTAGTTGAAAAGTTTTATCATCAGAAAAAAACAGGGTGGTTTAAATGTAGGATCGTAGTGTTCGATTTGGAAGCGGGCCCGGGATTGTCTCTGCCAAGCCCGTTCTTGATCTGCATCTGTATTCAGAGGGTCACCCACACTCTGGTCTTGCACATTTCCAATGACAAGGCGCTCACTCCATCCCATGGCAGCCAATTTTGTTTTTAAAGAGTCCTGATGGTTAGGAAATCTGCCTTACATTGAGTCAAAAAATGGGGTGCAGTGTGGGTGGCCTTTCCCTGCTTGATGCAGTCGACTGGCTAAGTTCCCAGAGGCTTGTTTGTAAGCTGAGACGCATCCTCCCTTGGTCATGGATGCTCATACCAACAAGCCGACCTGGCTCTGGGGCCCAGGACTGTCCATACGGCTGGGGACTCCTGCCTTCAGATGGAGGGGAGCAGCAGTGGGGAACAAACAGAATGTTCCTGGCTGCAGCGCTCGATTAAGAACAAAGAGAACAGCCTCTGTCTCTCAGGGCCGGGCGATGTTTACCTCGTGAGAAAAAAAAAACAAAATCAAAGCACAGACCCTGTTGCCCAGCATGTGTCAGATGAAATTCTTCCCTCTACAATATCAGAATCGATAGAGGATGACTCAGTGCTTCAGATGTCGCTCAGTCCAGTGGGGTCATTGTGCACTCTTTTGGAAACTACATCGTTTCGTGAATGCGGCTGAACGTCACATTAGCTCGTGGCAGCTGCAGCCCCCTGGTGACTCATGCTGGAGTCTGCAATCAGTGAGAACCCCAGGCTGCTTCTCCTTTGTTGGTGCAACATCACGTGGCCCCCATCCCAGCTCCACTGGGACCGTAGATGTCCTGGGCTCCTTCTAGCTCCTTGTCTGCTTTTGTTGTCAAGTCTATGAGGTCACCTTCAGGATGTTAAAATTCAGGATCCCAGGGATTGCAGCCTCCTGTCTCCTGACTCTTTGGCACCTCTCCTGGTCTTTAAGGTCCCCGGAGGTCACTGTCCGTGGATAATTGATCTCATCTGCACAGTCCCATTCTCCTCAGCTCTAATTCATCCAGACCAGTATGTTTAATGAAATTAAATGTCTAATCTGCCTTTTATCAATATCTATTCTCTCTTCCAATTTCTTGACAGAAAAGTTGAAGGAAAGGCAAGAGCTGAAGAGTCCTGCTCTTTCTTTGATCTATTTAAGCATCATAATTAGTTTATCTGATCATTTTTACCCGTGTGAGAGGTAATGGTTTAGGGTCTTGGAAAGAGACGTCCAGCCTGAGCATTTATATTTTGCATGGCGCTTTCACATTGTTTAGTATTGCTTGTTTTTGTGCTGCCTACTTGTTTTAACAAAGGGTTCCCAGGTCTATAAAGATGGACACATTCATTCTATTCTCATTCAGTTCAGTCACTCTTATGGAAAGTCTAGTTTTATGTGCCACAAAGCCATACCAAAGGTTTGCCTCATTGGAGAGAAAGAATCCAGGAAGAAATACATGGTCATGAGTGACAACTTTGCAAATTTCAAACTATGAAAGGATGGCAGACATCACTGTCAAAGGGGCCCTGGGCTCTCCAGGAAGCCCACATCCCAGACAGAAAAAAAAAAAAGGATCCTAGTTTTCTCTCTGAATTCTGCTCTAGAATAACTAGGAAACTACCTACCATGTAAAACTGGGAAGTACAGAAAGGACATACTTACTAGAACGCGGAGGGTGTGGGTAACCTCAGCCTTAGGGTAAGGAGCTGGAATAGGTCTGAGTTAGGAAGCAGCGATGGGAAGACAGGCCTTGGCTCCAAGGCGGCACCTATGGGAACCCCATCAGTACTGGACACTGGAAGGCAGAGGAATGCCCAAAGACAGGCAGCAGGGAAGAGGGAAAAGGATCCTTATGTAATTGTGTGTATGTGTGCTTTTCCACTTCATAGCTGTGCGTCTCTGGTTAACTCACTTCACTTCTCAGATTCTCAGTTTCTTCATCTTTTAAAGGGGTCTTAAACAGGGATAATAATGCTTCTACGTCCCAGGATTATCTTGACGACCAAATGAGGTCATGGAGAATATTAGAGTATTACTCCACCACTGTCTCCCTCCTCCCTCTAAGGCAGTGTCCCCACCCCTCCCACCCTGCCCTTGGTGTTCTACAGTCTACACAAAATCCACCCTCAACTCGCTCTTCTACTGCAGTTGATCAGAATGAGGTGAGCAGTACACCAAAGAGTAGCTAGCTGGCCTCAAAGAAATACAATATGCTGAACTGAGTCCCTTGGAACACCTTCCTCTTTTGAGATTTTTCACTGAGAACTGAAGTTTTAATTTCATTTAATTTGATTAAATTTAAATAGCCACATGGAGCTAGTGGCTACTATATTGAACAGTGTAGGCTTATAGATTTATTCTCTGGAGAGGTCAACCAGAAAGCAAAGAGCTAGACAAAAATTGAAAAGATTTTTTTATTGTAGGAAAAATCCACACACCAAAGATGCTGTGGATTCAGAGAAAGGCTAAAGAAATATAAAGGAAAGAAATTATATTGCCTACAGTTATTCAAATACTGGCTGGGAAGTAGAGATGACTGTGAAGGCCAGATAATTTCAGTTCTGACCATCTAGACCAAAATTCCCTGCTAGTAGAATTCAGCAGTGAGGTGTTAGCAAGCACTTCCGGCACCAAGGAGAACTGGGTACCACGGAGCCCCACTGCTATAAAGGGAATACAACCTGATAAGACACACCTTTTATTTTATTCCCAGGCTTGCAAGAAGTGATGTGTGACTCTCCCACATCCACACTCACCCTCTCCCAAAGATCTGAACACACAGTGACAAGTACAAGAGAAAAGCAGAGCTGCCCTGCTGGCAAATGCTGCTATTAAAACACGATCAAAGCTAAGTAACAAGATGAAGAGATTAAATCTGAAATTCTAGTAGAGGGGCTAAAGTTTTCATAAGTAGATAATGCCTTCTGGCTCTCAGCAAACACAAATGCAATTCTGCTCTGGCAAGAAGCTTCCTCAGTTTGGGTTTCTAGGATTTTCACAGATTAAGATGAACAAAATATAAGCTCTTAATCAAGTTTAACCAAAAACATAAGAAAGCAAATCACTCTGAGCCAGAGGCAGAAGAAACAAAGCACACCAAATTTAGATCTTCAAGGACTTTAAATATTAGATAGTCATATATAAATGTGAAATAACTATGTATGAAATCCTTAAAGAAGTGAACTATGAAGTCACAGACATAGAATGCACTGGCGAGACCATCAAAAGTGAAATGGTAGGTTTGAAAAAGTTAAATATAATTTTCATAAATGAAAAATATTATTATCAAATAAAATCTGGGGGATGAGAGAAATATCAAATATTATCAATTGTCAAATAAACAGGGGATGAGAGAATTACTGAAGTGGAAGATAGAGTTGGAGAAATTAAACAGAATACATCCTAGGGAGAATCAGAAGATGATAAATGAGAAAGATGAATAAATAATGATTAGAGTTTCCAGGTAAAGATAGCAAATTGAGCACATACATCTAATTTTTACTCCCTTCCCAAAACCCATTATTTTAAGATTTGTATCTTCTTTTTTAGATTCCACATATAAATGATATCATATATGTTTTTCTGTCTGACTTACTCCACTTAGTATGACAAGATAATCTCTAGTTCCATCCATGTTGCTGCAAATGGCATTATTTCATTTTTTATGGCTGAGTAATATTCCTCTGTGTGTGTGTGTGTGTGTGTGTGTGTGTGTGTGTATGCCACATCTTCTTTATCCAGTCATCTATCAGTGGACACTGAGGTTGCTTCCATGTCTTGACTATTGTAAATAATGCTAATGAACATTGGGATGCATGTGTCTTTTCAAATTATAGCTTTCCCTGGAAACATGCCCAGGAGTGGAATTGCTGGATCATATGTTAAGTCTATTTTTAGTTTTTTAAGTACCTCCATACTGTTCTCCATAGTGGCTGCTCCAATTTATATTCCTACCAACAATGTAGGAGGGTTCCTTTTTCTCCACACCCTCCTGAGCATTTATTATTTGTAGACTTTTTAATCATGATCATTCTGACTGGTGCAACGTGATACCTTATTGTAGTTTTGATTTGCATTTCTCTAATAATTAGCCAAAACTCATTATTTAAAAAAAAAATGATACATGCCCACAAGGATGGGAAGAATATGAGAAAAAAACTATAACAACAAATTTGGAAAAGGAAAGGCAGATGAACAAGTGATACCAGACTCATAAGAATTTAGAAAGTCAAACCCTGAATTGGTGATGAGAAAAACTGAAATCAACCCAGTTGGAATGGTAAAACAAATACAAGGAAAGCAGAAGGAAGGAGATAATACAGCAAAGAGCATACATTCGTATAATAGGGAACAAAGATCCAAAAGAGAGAAACTGCCAAACCCAAAGGGCTTTGAAAAGACAATTAAAAATGGATTAATCTCTGGTGAGACTGAGAAGAAAAGAGAGAAGGTATAAATGTATATAAACAAAGGGACATACCTATAGATGGGCAAACTTTTTAAAAAGTGGTAATAGAATACTCTAAACTACTTCATGCCTTTACATTAGAAGAAATGAAAAAATTCCTAAAAATATATTAATTATGAAAGTAACTGAAGAAGAAATGGAAACTCAAAATAGCCTTATACCAGCCTCAATCCCTTTTTTTTTTAGTGGAGGTACTGGGGATTGAACCCACAACCTCATGCATGCTAAGCACATGGTCTACCACTGAGCTATTCCTCCCACCTAAATAGGCTTATGATTTTATGATTATTAAATAAAGTGAAAGAGAAGACCAAAATCTTTCTGCAAAGACTCAGATGATTTTATCAGCATATGATTATCTGATTATATGGAAGAGCAAGTATTTAAGAAGCGCCAAGACATTCTGAAGGCAAAAAGATGAAAGAACTTGCTTTTCTGGATTGTAAGACTTAACTAAAAACCTAAAGTAATTAAAACAGTATGGTTTTGAGGTCAGGATAATCAAATTGGTCAATGGAACAGATTAGGGAAATAGGTCTATATATATTATAGATGAAGACAGTAACGCTGTAGATCACGGGTGGGTCATTCAAAAAAATGGGGCTGAGGTCACTGGTCATGCGTACAGGAAAACTTGAAAGATGAGCTTAATTCTCAGATACAAAAATTAATTTCCTATGGATCAAAATTTTAAATATGGAAAGCAAAGCTTTAAAATTTTGAGAAGAAATTTCAAATATCTTGATAACCCTGGGATTTATCAAAAGGATTTCTTAAAAGGGACACACAAAAATACCAACCAAAAAAAGGAAACACTGACAAAACAACCATATTATTATCAAAAGATCCTGTAAAGAAAGTGAAAATACCAAGACAATTGTAAGAGATATCACTGACAAGGACATGATCTCCAGACTGTATTTTTTTAAATTCTGCAAATCAATTAGGACAACTCAATAAAAAATGGGGATGGGATACAAATAAGCATTTTATAGACAAGGAAACACAAATGACAAACATGAAATCATTTAATCTAAGGTAAGGGCTGAAGTCACGACTTCCAGCTTCAGCCAAAGGCTGCTGAGGGGGCAACGACACTGCCTCCCACCAGCTCCCCTCAATCCTCCTCTAAGAGTGATTTAACTTTACTCGCTGAGACACAGCCACCGGCAAGGAGAGGCCAAGGTTCACCCAGTAATTGTCAGGGAGGTGAACCCAGAGGCGAGTCACAGTTCAGCCTGAGCAGGTCGTGTGTGGGATGAGGGTCCAGCCCAGTGCAGGGGGCAGGCACAGGAGGGGGTCCTGGGGGACCCTGGAAGTCAGTGCTGGCCGACAGCCCACTCCCGCTGTGCGCAGGTGCCCCAGCCCTGAGAGACCAGACAGAGGGGTTAGAGACCAAAGCCAGGAACTCACTGTCCTTCTCTTTATCTTTTTGTTCAGCGGTCATGAGCATGGGGGGACCAGGCATGAATTCCCATCTCTTGGCTCCACGACATTT